TCTTGTACAAAAGGACCTAAAAACAGTAAGGTTACTCGGAAAAACTGTTGCAAGACAATTTGGACTTTCGACAGATTGAACACGGATCGAGTGAGTATTAGTGAGTCAGTCTTAGGGATAGAAAATAATTTTTTCTTCACAGCCCAAACATTGTATCATCACCGCACAATCTAATATTTTCAGTTCATTGTTGTAAGTCAATTTGCCTTTCTCACTATTTCAAGATTATTTTACACCCAAGAAGGAATCCGTAAATGATGATGGAAGCAAACCAAAAGGTACAAGTAAGAGATAATCTAAACTACTAATGTGTGTAAGCCTAAATCTGCGGGAAGATATCTAGAAAGCTCCACAATTAAGTGAGACTTGGCACAGCTTCTGTTTAAAACAAAGCAAAATAACTTGGACTGTTCCTATCCTACAATTTTTCCGTAGACTTTTACAACCTTCAAACCAAGGTTTTATGGCCCTGTTATATCCAACAAATTTGAAGATTTTTCTCACAATGTGTCGTGAGTTTATTTGGTTAAGCGACTATGGACCGTGAATCGTCAAAAGAAGTACATAAATCAACCAAATTTGTACAGAACGACCTGAGAATGGCAAGGGTTATTTGGAAATGTTGCGAGAGAAGTTGAACTTTCGATTGAAAACAATAATAAATTAAAATAATGGGTAAATTTTCTTCACAGCTCAAATGTTGCACCATCACTGTGCAATTTGATTTTTTTCAGTATTTTAAGCTATTTTATAATTAAATATTGTTACTTTATGGGGAAAATCCTGGAATGTATTAGGAGGTGAAAAAACGAACATCACCCCAGATCGCGCCTGTTTTAACTAACTGTTATTTTATATTCAGTTGACGAAGAGACTAATATGGCAGCCGATGGAAACCTGGCTATTGCTGACGTTGACAGCAGTTTCTCAGGTGAGGAAAAAATTAGACTTTGTCAGATTTTAACCATAACTAGAAAGACACAACTCCAACCGTCAATTGTCAGCTATTATGAGCATAACGAAGAGTCTCTGTATCGCGAACGTCGAATACACCAGTCTTCAATTGCGCGATCATTGGTTTGATCCAAGAATCGCGCCTGTGATCAAAAGAAAATTAATTTATCACGATAAAGAGAATCAGCTCAATAGGGAGTTACAGAACACACAATATGCGACAAAAAAAAAAAAACAACAGACAGTGAAAGTCTTTTCTTTGTCATTTCTTTAACAGACAAAAGCAAGGCTACTTCCGGTGACAAAAACCTGGATTCAAGCAATACGTCTGTGGAAGGTAAATAAGTCAGAAAACTCGATGAAATTATTGAAGTCTTAACTGAGAGAGGGTAAACCTGGTATAGAAAAGAAATATCGACCTGGTATACAAAGAAATTTCTACTGCAAAAGATTGGTCGTGCTTATCACCAATAGTTTTTACACCAAGACTAAGGCGAGATCCATAAAAAATACAAAATAAAAAACATTTAGGAACCAAACTAACAGGGAGCGGCTTAAAAGATCGGCGACGAGAATTGGTGAAGCAAACAATTACATTCTGAACATCGTTTATCGAGCCAAAATGTTGATTGGGACTCTGCAAGATCGATGTTTTGGCCGAGTTAAGTTAAACGATTGACTCTCGGAAACTGAATTACTTACTTAGGGCAGATTCTTCTCAACAGAAGGGTAACAAGCAAGAGATAAAAGAGTGAGATTCAAAAGGACCGTTAAAAATCATAATTGTTTATGCTGTTATCATCACCCCTTTCATGTTAGTTCTCAAAGAGGCACAAGTTGAGGCTGCTGAAGGAAACGAGGACTTTACCGTCAACAATTCGTCAGGTGAGAAATTGATCGTGATCAGCTTTTAGCATGTGCCATTGACACAAACTCGATGAGGAAGTGTTTAACCTGTCCACAAACAGGGTCAGTTATATCGATTCAATCAAACTCATACCTTGTCAGTCCAATCAGTGGGGTTATCAACGTGCATGGAAATCAAACTGTATATTCCATGAATTGCACATTCATTAAGGGTCCCTAAGTCGAAAATAAGTTGACTTGTATCACGCGCAAATTATATCTTATATATCGTTGCTATGATTTCAGAGAACGACAATTCAGGTGATCAAGATGTGGATCCAGACGAAGACCCCTTAGTTGGTAAGTGAGACAACCAATGCGTTGAACTAAACGTTAAATCAGACATCCAATTAACAATTACAGTTAAACCGCTGCTTTAAAAGCGCTTTTCATTTAAGTGTTGTTAAACCAAA